CACCAAGTTACCAACACCTTCCGAACAAATGACCCCCCCACCCTCTCCAACCCCTAAACCAACCCCGAAAACAGAATTTTTTTTTTTTTTTTTCTGACTGTGTCCATGAAGTGGACCTCCCAAGCCTGCGCCGTCAAAAATGAAAAAGGGGAGTCCCTTATTTTTTAACCCCCCCCTAAACACACCCCAATTTGGATCCCCCCGTTTTAAACTTTTTTTCATTTTTTTCTTTGGGGGGGTGTCGGGCCAAGGTTGAGCCCCCGGAATACCGACCCTGACCTCGGGCAAACCCCCCCCCCCGCGTCCGCAGCAGTCGTGACCGCGGGCCCGCGGGCCGTGGTCATGCCCGTGGTGACCGCGGCCGTGGGGGATACATAGCTCCTCGGGCATCAGATATCCGAGCACGACCTCCACATGGACGACCCGAAGATCCAGACCATCATCGATTGTCCTACCTCTACATCTCTCCTGCCCTGCATAGTTTTCTTGTTTTGACCAACTAGTCCATTTCTAAGAAACTACGTGCAATATTCTTCTCAACTTTCCCCTTTGAACCTTGGACGTCTACTTTTTCATTGGACCCCGACTCACGAGGATGCCTTCCGCTCTCTCAAGCAACTTGTGACGTCAGCTCCTGTCTTACACTTCCCTGACTACTCGCATCCATTCATCGTCACCACCGACGCGTTCGACTTCGCTATTGGAGTTGTTCTCTCCTAGATCTACCCAGCGCCCACTACTTCTCCCGATTCCATAGAATCTCGCCTTCCTCACATTCCTTGCTTCCCTCCTCCACCTCCTGCGATTGCAGCTCATCTTGCACCCATAGAACCCACCCCCTTATATTCCTGACGTCGCTCATGACGGTACAGTGAAGTCTCGCGATGAAAAATGTCTGGTTGCTTATCTATCTCGACAACTACTTCCCGTTGAGCGTAACTATACTGTCGACGAGGGTGAGGTCGTCACGTTGGTTTATGCTGTTAAGAAGTGACGTCATCATTTGCACGGTCACACTTTCACCGTTTTGACAAACAACTCTGTCCTCGCCGCCTTCTTGACAAAGCCTAAGCTCACTTCTCGCCAAGCTCGCTCATAGCGTGACGTCGTGACCCCTTAGAGTTCTACTTCACCATCAAGAAGATTTCCGACGAAAGCAATCGCATCGCAGATGCCTTATCCCGCAACCCCGATCTTCAGTGTGAGGATCGTCAGCTATCTGCTATTTCATCTCCCACCATCCACCCCGCCTTTCTAAATTAGTACTGCCACACATACACCTAGTGCCCTCTTAGCAAGCCTCGAGAGAGCATTGCTAACTCCCAGACTCGCATGGCGACTCGCGCCAACCGCTCTCGCATCGACTATCTCTTGAAAGTTGACAACGAGGTTCTTGTGAACGCACGTCACTTCCAACCCGAAGTTGACACGCTTCAAAAATTCAGACGTCGATATATCGGACCATGCACCATTCTTGCACTCGCCGGACTCAATCATGACTGCCCGGTGAGATTCAAATTGAAGTTCTATGATTCCATGTGTCGCGCTAACTTACATGACGTGTTCCATGTATCTCTTTTGCGCCCCTTCAGAGGGTCTCCTCCCGAGTTTCACGGTCGACCTCAACCTGCCCTTCTTCCATTATCGTTGAAGGTCACGAGGAGTTTGTCGTCTCTGATATTGTGTCCGGGCATATGATCGACCGTGATCCTCCCCCCCCGGAGTATTTCGTTCATTGGAAGGGTTATCCTTACGAGGAGTCTACTTGGGAGCCTCTTGAGCGCCTTAAGCACTTCATGACTTTCGTGCGCGCTAACGATCGTGCTCACCCTTTCCCTTCATCGTCCTCCCCTTCTACTTCTCGTCCTCCCATTGACCCATCTACCTAAGTGACCACTAACATTCCCCCTCCTATGTCGATGGGTCCTCCCGCTCCACCGGTACCTGCTCCGGGACCTTTCACCCCCATGCTATGTGACAATTGTGACCTAGTCCGCGGGCAATTCGGTCAGAAACATCAGCCACGGCCGCGGCCAGGAGGCCTAGTTTGCGACCTAACTTTTTGGAATTTGTTTTTGTGAAAAAATATGTGGAAAAATAAAAAAATATGGGATTGTAATGTTTTGCAAACCCCACAACCCCCTTTTTTTTTAGTTGTACTTGATTTATGAATTAAAAAAAAAAATGGTTACGAAGAACAAAAAATAAAAAAATAAAAGAAGACCAGAATTTTTTTTTCCATTTTTTTAATGACTGATATGGAGTTAAGAGTCCTAAAAGTTTTGCACAGGTAATTTATTTTTTTTCTTTTCTTTTTTGTTCTTCGTCATCTTCTTCTTCTTCTTTGCTGTTGTTTTTTTTTTTCTTCTTCTTTGTTTGTTTTTTTCTTTTTTT